TTGTACAATTCTATTTTTTTAAAGTATAAAATTATGCTATGAAAGTTTGAAAATGGACCAATTGCTTCGTACAGGTTGTCTGGGATGTTGAAATCTTTTCTAGCTTCGTTGAAGTTTGGGCAGTGGATGATGATATGTTAAATTAAAATATTATATTCATTTGTTGTGTACATTTTATATTTAAGTGTGCTTATTACGTGTTAAGCTAACCCTCTTATGTATCTATATAGTATAACAGCAATAATTATATTAGGTCAATTAGATTTAGTAGTTTTTTTTTACGCTGCTGACAGTCAGTAACTGACTTAAATATATTGTATAAGAATACGTGAATAACTATTAGGTACTAATAGGTACCTACTTACTTATAATATATCCTCAGTCCAAAATTAGATTTACATGGTCAACTGAACAACTGTTTTAATATATTGTTATACAATTCATCTATAGTGCTAAAAATTTTATGCTGTACCTATATAATATTTACCTATAATGGTGGATTGAAAATAGTACAAAATATTAATTTAATTTTAATTAGGTATAGCCTATATACATAATATTAGGTCTATTTGACATATTTTGTACATTTAAATACCTGATAAATTGGTATAATAGAATATGAAGTATAGGTACTTATATATATATGTGCTTGATATTTGCTCTAATAATATTGTTTGATAAATACCTGTTCGATTATATACATGACATTATTTTAATATGCTGTGAGTTTTTTTAATAAAAACATTAGGCATTCTTAAAAATATCTCTTAGCTTCTGTCTATGTGAAATATTTATCGATTTACTATTCTTCAAACTCTCCCGTAGTCGAATATCCTTATTAGTTATATAGATAGGTTATAATGGTTATATCAGACTATTCATTAACTATTATTTAGTATACCTACAAATAATAATATAATAGATATTCCAACACAAAACACATTTAAATAAGTTTGGCAGACTATATTGATGTTAGATAGAATATATCTTAATTTAAAACTTATAATTAAACATATCAAATACCTATACTTATATTAAATATTTATTAAATCATAATTTATTAAATTATTCATCGAGAATTTAAAAGTAATAATTTACAATAGTTTAACAACTTATTAGGTATATATATTGTTAATATATGCAAGACACGCATGTTATATATTTATATCTACTAGTATTTTATTAATAACACATGTTATTTATAATTTTAAGTCATGTAAGCTACGTAAAAAATAATCTTTAACAAAAGTACTTGAAATTAAAAAATTAAATCATTTAACAATGTACATAATATTATGTATTTTTGTGTTTTGTGATTTTGATTTTTTTAAATTCCTAGTTTCAATACGAGTATACCACAATATCCTCATTTGCTTAATAGTGATGACATTTTTCATCTTGATGTTCAATATTTTTAGATAGATACTTAATTATCTATACATACCCTTAGAATAAACGACATAAGTTATTTTAGGGAGCCGATAGTGAGATAATTAGTAACACATCATCGTCTGATCAAAATTAGTCTAAATTCACAGGTAACAACAATAGCATATTATAAATATACTTACACATGGACAAATATTATGTAGTAAATTAGTAGGTATACTTTGAAACGGCATATGGTTAATTTAGCAATTTATTTCTATCAGTCTTTTCTCGTAAGTATACGCATGTGCCTACCTACCTACCTTTTGAATTGTAGTTAATAAAAATAACAATAAACTAATAAATATGTGAATTGTATCGGTACACGCCCATTGAACCATATCGTTAAATTTGATTATTATGACTGGTATAGTGGTTCCGCACAAATTGTAAAATGTAAAATATACGCGATGACAGTATAATATAAATAAAATATTAAGTAGGTATACATATAATGATATTATATATTATACCTTACCGACTGAAATTTTAATAATCACTTTCTCCGAAGGATTTTAGTCGGCCATTAGAATATAGAATATATTTATATACTGAAAATGTGTAAGGACGTACCTTTATAGATAGTCATCGATCCATATTATTGTTTGTTAAGTATTATTTGTGTTATTAAGTTTTTAAGTGATTTCTTTGCTGTATTTCAAATTGAATAAAGCTCTAAGAATGATCCCGTTTTTGTTTCAGAAATGACAATGAGCCCGCCCAATATCACGATAATAAAAGGTTAGTGTTTACGTATTTCTCTTAAAATTTCAAACGGAACTCATTTTCTTATATAGAATAAAATATTACTACATGACAATGATTTTGGTTTATTAGTTTTAAAGTGTAATATATTATGAACATTCTATAAAAGGGACGCGTGCTCGGTGGTTTTTTTCCCAAACAAGACATAAAATTCACGCACTATGTATGTATACTTAATACAATCATCAGTTGTCAATGTGATGTTTTTTTTCTTTTATAATATATATAGGGTCAAGACTTTTTACCCTTGCTGCACCCTTTAAACATCAATTTTCAACTCACTGAAGGGCATTTAAATTTATTGACTCTAAACTCACTCGCTTATATATACTATCTATTATGTATAGGATTGCTGCCGCTATATATACAATATAAGTAAATACCTACATACTATACATATTTGTTGCATACAGAACCATAAATAACGGTTCTAGAATATGACCTTTATTGGGTCCTTTTTCTTTTTTTTTGTCACTATTCAACTTATTTTTTTTCTCTCAATCGTATTGTTAGGTAGTCCAGTATGTGTGCACTGCTTGACTATTTCATGCTTGTTAAGACGTCGTACAACAATAAAATTCCATACATAAATTAATGATTTCTTAAAGTAGTCTAAAATTTATATCTACACTTGTCAACTACTTAAACATAAAAACCGACCGTTCATTGAGTAGGTATATGGTATATGTGCATATATATATTATGATGTCTATATAATATAAATTCATGTTTTAAAACATATGATATCTAAATATTCTAAGCTCCCCTCAATGTAACATGAAAATTGTAAATTTATGAACAGATATTATCATATAGGCAGGTACCTATATAGTATCTTAATCGTTATATTTTATATTTTTCCATGATGCTCACAGTAGTATAGGAACTATTCGTTCATGCAAATTTTTTAGAATACAATAAATATTATATACTAATTGTTATCATCCCTTCCAAAATTAGATTACATGAATTACAGTGTAGGTACCTTTCCGTATACAGCACAAATTATTCTTATTACATAATGTTACTAATGTCCACTCGGTCAATTGTTTTCCTCTTTTATTAGTTACGCAATGCGATTGTTTTCAGTTATTACGCAATTATTAGACGTCATTATCATATTGTAACAATACACTGTGATACGTCTGTGTATATTATACTCCGCCCTCTCTCCTGAACATCGTTATTTCTTATTTTTACAATACACTCAAGTGTGTCCTATTTTATCTTGTGATATTTTTTCAATTCAATACAGTTTTCTACCGGTATTATAATAATACTACCACAGTAGGGGGATGTTACAGTTTTTTTCGCTGTTTGAATTCGTTCCTTTCGTTTTTACTATCACGTATTTATTTTTTTTTTTATATATCTCAACAAAAACATACAGTACTGCAATTCTTCTAAACACGGTAGGAGGGCCAGCTAGTGCATGGATTTCATTCAGAACCTTTATAAGTTAAAGTAAAATAGCTTCAGAATGTTTTATAAACTCTCCAATACTGCAAAGCTATTATAAACATACACGGCTATGTAGGTATATATATACTACCCAATACCTAAATCAATAATTGTATAATATAAAATTTTACACATGGACACTATACCAAAGAATCGATAATACGTGAGGGTGAATAAAATGTTAGTACATTAAATAAAGTATTAAGTATACACGCCAATAGTTTCAACCAGCAGCAAAATACGTGTCTTAATTTTAATAAATATACTATACAAAAAATCGTGGTATCGATGATTTTYTATGTTATTTAATTTATTTTTATAGATTGATTAGAGAGGGATTGTGTGACCGAGGAAGCGCGCCGTCTATCAGTGCAATATCGAGGCTTTTAAGAGGCCACGATGGTGATGATTCGGCTTCGGAGAAAAAAGTTAGCGACGGTAAGTTTTTTTAAATGTTTTAAAAATATAGTATATACAATATACATGCATTATGCATATTTCGTGTACAATATGGCAATTATATGTACACTAAATAATAAATATATAGGTATACGTTTACATTACAATATAATATTTTTTAATGGCATGATTCGAATGGGAATTGAACATGAAACTGTTGAAAACATATTTCATAATGAATTCATCGTTTTTCAATGTTATAATATATACTTACAACCATGCAAATCTGACGGGTGCTTGATAAAATATATTATTATTAAAAAGTATTAATTATCATACTCAATTTATAAAACCGTTTATTTTATAATTCAATCAATAATCAAATATCCATAGACCATATAATTAATTTTACGAATTAAAAAAATTAAGTGTTAGAATTTGAAATAATTGTGATATTAAAATGAAAGTTCGATAGTCCATTAATAATTATTCTTAGCACAGTTACTTTTTCTACTTGATGCTTTTTAAAATCGTTAATTTTGTGGCCATGACAACACATTTGCGAAACCGATTTTTTTCTTTCTTAGTTCTCCTCTAATGAAGCGATAATAAAAAAAATTTTATTGTGTTTGGCATTCGTTCAGACGTGTATATGTATACACAATACAMACGTATATGAGTGAGTGTATGTCTTTGATGGAATGGAAACGGTATACTCTATTACTACAGTACTTCGCCATTAAATATTTATTATAATTTCAATATGTGACCTAGGGATATTTAAATTGTCGTAGTAAAAATATTTTAGTGACCACGTCACCATATAGCCATGCAACAATAGCTTTTAAATGGTATTGAAAAAATAACCCTCACAAGTCGAAAACATGATTGATATATAGATAGAGCTCGGATTTTAAAGTAAATGATTCTTTTTTATATATGAGATAGAAATTTAATTTTTATATACATAAATTTGTTTCAACGCATTCTCATTCCAAATAAACCAATTTATTTTGGATTTTTTTTTTTGTATAAATGCTTTTTTTTGTTGCTTTTTCAGTTATTTTAGGTGTGGAATTTATATATTACTTATGTTTATTAAGCGCTACAGTAATAAAAATTAATTTAATTTAATAAGAAAATCCGGTATACGTAGTACGAACTAAATGAGTATATTGCATGATTTTTTATATGTATAAAAATATTATGTCAGACAATAGAGTCAGTTTCACTACTGAAAATCTTGCCAAATATATGGTAGAAAATTCTTTTTTTAATTTAAATTAAGTTTTCAATTTTTTTTATTCAGTTTTACAACTAATCCATGTTAGTTTTTTGTCATGCTTTATTTTTGTGCTTCTTTTGTCATTTATTATGCTTTAAAATCCGAGTCCTATTGATATAAAATATGGTTCCGTTAAAAACCATTACAATTTATTTGTATTCTTTCCAATCAATGAATTATACTGTATACAGGTACTAACTTATAGTAGAAAACAAAAAACCCCTGAACAACAGCTATGAAATTATGCTTATCTCGATAAAGTACTTTATTACAAAAGATTTTTGAATTTGATAAAAAAATAACAGTTCTACAGAATTTTGATAAATCAATATATTAAAACACTGTTGTTTTTAATTTAAGTAAAAATGTTTGAAATTAAAAAATATAAAATAGATCATTCCCTAGTATTTGTGTTATATAATTTGAGGAAACGACGATATATTTTCCATAAAACATTTTATTTATAAATAATTATTATAGATGTCTACTTTAATCTTATTACTCATCAAGGAAAACATAAAACTACAAAATAATATACCAGAAAAAATTATGTACGTCGTACCTATAAATACGCTTACATAAAAACCACGACAAAATATAATAATATTGTTCGATAGATATCAATTTATTTTTGAACATTACCTACGCGGCGGCATTATCTATATAAGCCGAACGCGCTGCAGCGGCACACACTTTGCCTTGGTTTCAAACACCTGACGGTCGTTTTTAATGTCGTTTACAAATTGTTCGTCGATACGAAATATCATCATATTATATAGATTTGTATACAATCATCTTCTTCGGCTTGTATTATTCGCATCGCGAAAAACCGATTCTCGCACCGCAAACGTCATTAGTCCATCCATACACAATTTGATATTATAACAATAATAATGATAATGATAATATACCCGCCGCGACGACGTGCAGCATCGTATGGCGTTATTGTTATTTTAAAAACCATTACCCAGTTTTGGGTTTTGGACCGCCGCCACCGGTTCGTAAGCGCCTTCGACTCTGTGTGACCGCATGCCGCCGCGACGCCGCCAAAAACCCACAGCGAAGCATTTTGCTAAATTATTATGAAAAATGATTTTTCGTTTCCCTCCGCCGCCCGTGACGTGCGACTATACGAGACCTGGAACAGTGCGCCGCCTTTATTTCTTTCCCATCCCATCTACACACACGTAAGCACTAATAATGCATCACTAAAACACAATAAAACAAAAACAAGCAATCGCTGGCAAAATATGTTCGTATTGCCACCGCTGCCAGTCGGTCTCTTTGTGTAACCCAATCGTTGCGGTCTGCCGAAATTACGTACTTCAGTCATCCGACACGTTCGAATCCTAAACTGTTGTGGTGTGTGTGTTCGTTTCGGCATACGTCGGATGGTATACCTACTTATAATAATAATAATATATGTACAGTTGTTCAAAACCACTCGCTCGTTTTCAATGATCTATAAACATACTATAATAATTTAATTTATATATTAATACGTTCATTCTATGAAATTAATTTTACGTTCGTGGTTCAAGAAATTTTTTTACTCTCCTATCATTAAAATGACCGATGTTATTTCACGCATTGTAATTGTAATATTAATAATATCTATGTCTTAAATTTTGTTGTGATAATTTGTTTATTATATTGATAAGATATAAATTGCACATATTGATATATTTTGTATTACGCATAATTTGTGTGATCAGAAATAGATATATATGTACTTTTGCAATATTTAGAAACTTCATCATATACCTATATTATAACTCAGATAAAATTATAAATAACATAATAAATATAAGTACATGTAAAGTGCTTTGAGATTTTAATTGTATAACAATTTTATGACCAACCAGATTTTCACTCAATACATCGAAGACCATAATTATTTTATAATACCGTGGTGCGTGGTTACAGTGTTCTACGTGCCTATTTACGTTTCTAGTATCACGAATTGATCGTAGGTGGAACGTGGAAGTATACAAAATTATATTACTATTTCATATTTTTTTTAGGAAATGTAGTATAATTTTCAATGAAATAAGCAAATCCAAAAAATAAAATTTTTAAAGTGCATATTTTTGCATTACATTTTAAAATTTAAAAATACAAATTTAATTTTCCATTGAACCTTAATAATTATTATAAACTTACATACTTTTTTGGTGTTCAAATTTTGGACGTTTTTGTATCATAAAGTTAACCCATTAACAATCATCAACTCATGGCGATGATTAAAAAACGTTGATAGGTAACTGATACCTAAATTATAAAATATGTTTGACAGGGTATTAATCACGAATGATGTCCGTGCTATTGATACAGTAAATATAAGTATTTTTATATTATAATTTAAACTTAGTGCCTGTGAAATAAAATAATTCTAAATCGTTAAAACAAAATAAAAACAGTTTAATTCACTACTATATTTGAAACAAAATGTGACCATCACAATATTAATGATTTATTGTGCTGTTCTAACAATAAATTCATAATAAATTAATAATTATATAATTATAAAAGTAATTTTGGATTTAAATTTTATTCAATTTATATCACTTATCACAATACCTATAGACTCTATAGTATAGAGAATGTGTGCGATTGCTAAAATAATTCAATTCAATTTCAAAATCAAAAAATTGATGATTTATTTCAACAAAAGTACCTAAATGTTAAAATAGATGAAATTACTAAACAAACCAAGAATTGTACTATTTTCGTTAATGTTTCAAATAATGGAAACAATTTTAATAACAACATAAAAATGTAAATTTGAATATCGATTTCCATTTCATATTATTAGGTACGTATTCCAATTAATATTGCACCTAATTGGTGATAAAAATTGCATGCGACATAAAATCGCTCTCTATGACTTGGAAATATAAGATTACGCGCGCGTTCAGATAAAAACCAGTTGTTTTTTATTTTTGTAATTTGCTTTATTCGCACAAAATAATCTTTACGATATATATTATATTTTACAGGTAAAACTTCAGACGGTTCGGATTGCGATTCGGAACCGGGTATACCGTTAAAACGCAAACAGCGCCGCAGCAGGACCACGTTTACTGCGCTTCAGCTAGACGAGCTGGAAAAAGCGTTCGAACGTACCCAGTACCCGGACATTTACACTAGAGAAGAATTAGCCCAGCGCACCAAACTGACCGAAGCAAGAATACAGGTGACAATATACGAATTGTATACGAATACACGTTATGAGTATCTAAAGCAAAAAAATTAGCATTTTATAAAATTCTCGGATAATGAATATAATAATAGAATGTCTAATGTAGGCAACAGGCAATGTAAAATATATGAAGCTCAAGTTAAAATTAAAGATAACTTCAAAAGTTCAAACTCAAGATAAAAATATTCTTATAAGTGTTATGTTAATTTTTAATTAAAAGTATTTTTTTAAAAAAATGATTTTTAAATTTTTTTATTACAAAAATTCTTTGAAATTGTACATAAAAATACAAAATTGTCATCTAATCGTTACTAATACACTTATTTTATGATTTTATAAAATTCTTTAACAAGGTATAGTAGGTAAAGTAATAGACTGATTTACTGATTACCTTTACTTTAATTACACTATCTAAAATTGTTATACACGCAGGAAATTATAAAGTTATAAATTGTTATCACTTTTTTTCGATCGCCGTCGGTCATCACTAAAATACTTACTATATACACTTATGCAAACCCATATAATTGACGGTGTGTTTTTCTGCAGGTGTGGTTCAGTAATCGGCGCGCGAGACTGAGAAAACAAATGTCTAGCAACACAGGAAGTTCGACTCCAGGTTCCGGTAGCTACGGCATGGGATTGGCCCTCGGGTATTCTCCATCCGCTCAACAGCAACAGAATCAACAGCAACAATCGTCGGGCCCGAACTCGTCATCCACGCCCGCTTACATAATGTCGCCGCAACAGTTGCATGAACCGTACAACTCGACGCCGGACGGATACAAAGGTACGAGTGATTTTATTGTAATCCATATTTTACACAGTTTTTAAATACATTTTTGTTACTTAATTTATTTAATCTGATAACCTCTGTCTTAAGAGCAGAAAAATCATACAAAATCATCAAAAAAATATTTATTCTTTCTTACATTCCTTAAAAAACGCAATTCATGGGTTAAAACACAAATTAATTGTACAGGGGTCTTATGTACACAGAGGTAAAATTTGGCGTGTCTTTTTTTGTTGCAAAGTTGCAAAGTATACATTACTTAATCTTAATATTGTTTGTACCTAGGTAAATTCGAAGAACTTTATTCTTATTTGTGTACAGCCTGTCGTCAACTGTGGTGATATAAGATATCTAATAAATTGCTATTTTAAAATATATTATGTAGAAACTGACGACCATCATCATCAGCAGCAACAGCAGCAACAACAACAACAACAACAACAGCAACAGCAAATGATCAAGGACGAACATCAGCAAAACAGTATGATGTACAGCGGCCTAGGTGCCACATCATTGATCGATCACGATAACAGGCCTCATAGCAACATCAGCACAGAAGCAGCAACGGCCACGTCGTACATAGGAATTGCGGGTGGTACGTACCCGACCACGCCACTCTACACGTCCTCATCATCACTGCTCACTTCTCAGGTAAGTTTTCGAACGGCCAGAACGTCGTAATAATATAATAACTGCATAATTCCCGACATATGCACCACCCCACTGCCATATMCACTTCATTATCACCCTAGTTATCATCGTGATCATTTAGAAATCTTAAAAATGGAGACCAAAAATAATATAAGTAGGTACATACAAGAAGTCGTATAAATATAAATTAAACCCTCTGGCAATTTACAGTGTTTACACATTCAGAAATGTATGCGAGTGCTGATAGAGAGAATAGGTTATAAAGAGAAAACTATATTTAAAGTTGTAGCCTCCCTAACTCACCACCACCATCATCATCATTGAGATATATTATAGTTTCAAATCCCTTCGATGATTTTTATATAAAATGTACATATATACATGATGTATCATGATTGATATACATGATATATCTACCCTAATTTGTACCTTTACATAGTATACATATATATATTGTCGACGTCCCCGCTGTTTCATTTGTTGTAGATTTGTAGGCTGGCACCTATAATAATAATAATAAAATGTGACAATTTCATCACGATGATCGATAGGATTTAAGGTATATTATTACATACAACGGCCGGACGCGCACGTGGTAAAATTTCTTTCTGAAAAACGTATTGCCGCCGCCGTCATGCTTGTAATATTATGTACTCGCATTATACACATATAATATGTGTAGGTATATATAATAATATATATTTTCATGAGGCCCGACCGGGCTGTGAGTACGTCGTAAAAAGGGTCTCGGTCGCGGTGACACCGTTTACCGGCGGGGTAGCTAAGTTATTTATAACCGTACATATAATAAATATTATTGTGCTGCGGTGACGGACGCCCGCCGCCCGCGGTATACATAATATAACTTATAAGTATAATATGGACATTATGCACTATCGTTGTACATAGATCTGGTCTCACAGTCACATTATATAATATCTATTTTGTATTATTAAATAATATTATATGATAATATATACAGTCGCCACTCGTCATCGTTGTATGATATGATATATTATTATTATAAGTACGTAATACAATAATTAGATTTCATTTCGTAATGACGTACAGCGTGACCGAAAGAGCCAGTGACGTATTTACAGGGGCGATATGGGGATAGATCCCCCCTTGGTCTATTATTTGTTACTTATTTA